CGCGTCCGCCGTGGTCGTCGGGGATCGCGGCAGGCCCGACTTGGGACGGGTAAAGCGGTTGCGGCGAGACGATTGAGACCTGCTGCTGAACGGGCTGCGGCACATGGACCTGGGACAGCTTCCGTGTGTCGTTAGATAGACACACCGAGGGATTAAGATGGAAATACGCACCTCGTAGAGCAGCGGCGTGGCTGCCTCGTATCCGGTCGATCCCGCAAGGACCGGATAGGTGTCGACGACGTCCTGCGCGAGCAGGGAGACCGGGTACCCGTAGGCCTCTGCGCTCGGCGCGAGGTCAAGTTCTGTCGGATTGCCAAAGTGAGGCTGCACGTGGAAGTCGTAGAGCTGCTCTATTTGCGGGTACTGGAGGATTGGCGCCGAGTGCGTGTACTCTGCACCTGCGAATTGATAGCCCGTATCTGCATACGCCTGGTGAAACACTAGAGTGAGGGACGTTCAGGACAAAGGGTCAATTCTGCGCTTACATCGTAATAGGCTTGCTGCTCGAAGCTGCGCTCATCATACGCTGGGTACGAGTACGACATGTTGCAACGGTGGGCTCTCTCGATCCTGCAGTCCCAGCACTATTAAACCTCTTCGCAAGCGATCTGCACCCAAGTTCCATCTAACTTGGAGCGCAATGGATCTGCGGGGCGGCCGCCAGATAAGTGGCACGTAACGCTCAGAAATTTTACTCAATACGAGTCGCATGCCGCAGCGCGCGCCCTGCACTCGTGTCGAGGCACTGGCAAGATCTAGGGGATCCCGGCCTTCATAGGCTCTGCACTGCCAAACAAGCTCGCATTAGGCGCAGGGGCCGTGATAGAGAAGGACGCACTCTAGCCTTATGGGCGCACCGGACGGCTGGCCTTCCCCATTGGACGCGGCGCCGTGGTACACATGGACCTACAATCGCGCACGCCGGAGCCGTGTCGAGCACTAGCGCTGCCTTTGCGAGGCGTTAGTGCTTCTGGCCGTGGCGTGCATCGTGACTGCCTGCACCCGAACCTCGATGCCATGGCCGGCATCGTGCCTTCGATCCCTCGCTTGTCTTGTCCACGAGCATTCGCTCTACGCGTCCATCGGGCCCGTTGGTAATTTCTTGGCAAACGGGAACCTGTCGCGCGCAGGGTTTGTATTGTGGAGAGGCTTCTGCTAGCAGGCGCGGGGGTATCAATAATTATATGAGACTCGGCCACCAGGGATCTGGCAGGCCAGCGCGACGACTCGCTCGCGCCTTGATGCTTCTCGGTACCACAAGCATGGTGAGCTTCGACAGGCTGGGTTGGAGTATGTCGTTCATAACCAATTGACAGACATACTGCTGGACTTACGCGCTGGCGGCCGAAGCTGGTGCTAATGGCGAGAGAGGCAAATTTGCGCCCGCCGCGGCAGCGGAGTGCGCTGAGGTGGACCGCCGAGCGCTAAATGGAAGCAATTACGGATACTTCCGTAACGACGTGCCTGCACGCTACATGGCACCGTGATGTACACCTGCGACGTGTTTATGCTATAAAATTGGCGACTTTATGGCGGTCTGAACGTACAAAGGATGTCTATATCCGTTTGGGAGCTGCGGGTGGTGTTGACAGCCTGATGCATCGAACCGCGTCCCGCCGCAGGCTGCACCCCCAAAACGTGTCCTGCCTTTCACACCGTCGCATTAAGTACTTCTGGCTTCGGTGACCAGTGACACTAGTGACGTAGTACCTGGAGTGGACTGTCGTGCAGCGAAGACTGATGTTTGGTGTGCTTCAATCCGAAGAAACGCGCGCACGATGCAGACGGAATTGAACGCTCCACAGGCCGTGGTAGTGAACAATGGGCACAGCTTCTCTCTGGAGTCCATGGCACCTCTGACGCATACCGGGAGGAGCAACAGCCAATCTATTGCATGGCTATACTATGGATACAACTGCTTGTCTTCTTTCGCTGCGCCGGGTAGTACATACATACTGGTATATTGGACCGAGCGTCGGTCTTCCTCTAGACACCAATAAGGATGCCGCCGTCGATCTGGACGCGCGGATGTTTCAGCAGGGCGCAATAGCAGAATTAGAGGGCACGAACCTTGATTACAACGCCGGAGACGAAGCTGCCCGCCCTCGAAGAGAGGTAGAGGACGGCACCGACCATGTCTTCCTCGTTTCCGGGGCGGCCGATGGGGATGATGTCCTTGAGCTTCGAGATGAAACTGTTGGGGTTCGTGATGTCGTTGATCTCGGACGGGACGTTGGCGGGAGCAATGGAGTTGACGCGCACGCCGAGCTTCGTGAACTTGCTGGCGAGGTTCTGCGTGATGGACTCCGCAGCGGCCTTGGTTGCGGAGTAAATGTGTCCCTGGGCGTCGCGGGAGACATACAGCGCAGATACAGAGGTGTTGTTGATAATGTTGCCGCGGCCCTGGCGGAAGCCGTCGTTCGTCTTGGACGCACGAACGAGGTAAGGGAGCAGCGCGGCGGAGAGCCACTGCATTCACGCGCGGGGTCTCAGAATCGCGCCGAATGTAAACACAGAGCAGACTAACCTGCAAAGATGATGCATTGATCGCGAAGCCCTTCGCCCAGTCCTCGTCCGACGCCTGGAGTAGCGCCTTGCTGACCTCCTCTGCGGACGCATCCGCCGCCCACGTCCCGTCGTTCGTCATGATACCAGCGTTGTTCACGAGCACGTCAAGCTGCACCTGCGCCTCCGGGACGCCGCGCTTGATCTCCTCGTCCACGAACGCCTTCGCGAGCGCCAGGCAGCCCGCGCGGGTCGAGACGTCGCCCTGGACGGGCACGATGGATGTGTGGCTCTTCGCTGTCTCCTGGAGCATGTTGATACGGCGGCCGGAGATATATACACGCGTAGCTCCGCCGAGTGCGAGACCTTTCGCGATGTAGGCACCAATGCCGGACCCGGCGCCGGTGACGACCGCGACGCGGCCCTGGACGCTGAAGAGGGTGTTGACGTCGATGGGGGAGGACATGGTGGCTGAGGAGTTCCTTTTGAAAAGCTTGCGGTTGAGGGTATGGAACATATACTGGGGGGTAGAGTGCTAGAGCGGAGCGAGGGCGAAGGCCGAGGTCTTATACGACGACGGGCGGCGGAGCGGGGTGGGTCCGTGGGTGACAGAATGCGAGCTCGCCATGAGCGCGAAGTGCAAATCAACAGGGAGTTCGGACTATCTGATGTCGATGCGCGTTTGAGAAGCCCTGAGTCCGAGAATGGTGTGTCTCGGACTGAGTGGATGCTCTAGATCTCCATATGCATGAGAACGTTGTCAGTAATTTATCAAAATGTCCAGGATTGACGCTGCTCACGGAGGGGGTGAACCATTTCCTGGGCTCGCTGTTGTAGCCAATATGTAGTCTTCGGAAAGCAGGCGGATTTTTCGAGGAAGGAGCTGGATGGTTGGGATGAAATTCTAGGTGACTTCGGAGTTGTGTGCGGTACTCTCCAAGGGTTGATGACATCAGATATCCCGATATTTCATGCAGATAAATCGGTAATCGAACCCGATAAGCCTTATCGCATCTCGTATCGCTGTGATGTCAACAGCTTGAACGTCTCCCAGTACTCCCTCCACTGGCCCTAGGAACCTAGTTAGGTCGTGCTTGTACGGCCATCAGCCCTATAGGTCAGTCATAGCACAACCGTTCAAGCGTATTGCACATAAAAGTTCATCGAAGTGGGTTGGCAGCAGTCCTTCTACCTTCGAACCGTCACTCCCAGGCTCCGCCGCTCCAGCCATGCAGGCAGAAAATAACAGCCAACTCTCCACCTCTCAGTCGACCGCGTCCTTCCACCCATTGTTCTCCTTTGATGCGGACGTGGTCCTAGGATCTAAGGATGGCGTCCTCTTCCGCGTACCCTCGACCACCCTTCGGATGACGTCCAGCTGGTTCCGCACCATGTTTACCCTCCCCCAGACCCTGCCGCCCACACCTCCTGCCAACCTTCCGCCTCAAGATACTCCGGACGTCATCAACCTCGACGAAGACAGCCGCACACTGGAGCACCTCTTCCGCATGATCTGCGGCCTCACGATCCCCGAACTCGACAGCTGGGACACCGTCGAGCCGCTCCTCTACGCTGCGGAGAAGTACGACATGCCCGGCCCGCAGTCCATCGTACGCGCCCTGCTGCGCACCAAGCCCTTCCTCGAGTCGCCTCTCCGACTCTACGCAGCCGCGTGCCGCTACGGGTGGGACGCCGAGGCGCGACTCGCCGCCACGCTGACGCTCTCGCTCGACCTGCACGCGGCGGAGCACCGCCCGGCGCTCCTGAAGCTCAAAACGCCCGCGCTGCTCGCGCTCTACGACCTGCACCACGAGCGGCGCGAGCTCTTCCGCGTGCGGCTCAGCCAGCCGCCGTTCCTCACGGACATGCAGATGACCGACTCGTACGCGCGCTGCACGCGCTGCGGCGAGCCCGTCGACTACGTCGCGTGGCGCGAGCTCAAGTACGTGATGGTGCTGGAGATGGACCGCCGGCCTGTGGGCGACACGATCCGCGAGGGCCTCGACGAGTGGCCGGCCGCGCGCGCGTGCTGGGCGGCCAAGTGTAAGAAGACGATATGTGGGAGCGCGGTGTATGACAAGCCGTCGACGACGAGGGCGATCAAGGAGTCGTTGGAGTCGCTGCCTAATACGATTGAGGTGCGTGAGTATTTATCAGCTGCCTGTTATATCACTGACTGAGTCGGATGCAAATTTCAGTGCGCACTGGATTGAAGGGTCTGGTCGAGAGTATACCTTGCTATTGTCCCATGGATGGATTCTGTATCGCTATCTGTATTGTATTCAATAAAAGTATGTGTCAAAGTCGAAGATGAGTCTCTTGGACATCGGAGAATGTGTATATTGCACTTGCAGCGACAAAACATCGCGGGTTCTAGCAGGTGGTGACACGGATGTTATTCTTACTTTGCTCAGGGTTTTGAGCCCCTTACGCAATTCCAAAATACCCCTCTTAGCTACAAGAGATAAAAGGGAAAGCCACAAGGCCGGAGTATATGTCCGTGCCAGGAGTCGAGCCTGGGTTACCACGGTTCTGAGGCAGAGATCTTGACAAGGTCTCTCGCTCCACAACGTGGTGATCTAACCACTAATCTACACGGACGACAAAACTTATTAGCAGACCAGTACTTCGATCTCAGTGAATCCAAAGTTCCTCAACCACCGCGCGTCGACCCTCAACATCCTCGGCAGATATTCCCAGAATATTGCGAATAATCTGACGATATCCAGCAGGAACCATGCGGGTCGATGCAATGCTCTATTGCAGGGATGTCAATATCCTAAATTAATTTCCGGAACAGACTTCTCTACATCACGTGCTAGGTTGCATTGACGCGGCGCACGCCGGTGGCGCGGCGGCGGTTGTTCAATGCGAAAGTAGGACGTTAGCTTTTTGTCTCTGTCAGTCTCCAAGCTTCAAGCTCCCATCTCGGTGCCCCCCCCCCAGATCCACACCATCTGCCTAGAGATACTTGGGGGCCTTTAGTCCTGTGAACGGTGTCATTTACTAGCAAACCACCAGATCCCACCTCGATGCCAGCCACGCGCTCCGCTGCTACAGTAGCTCGCTCAGCCGAGCCCTACAACAAGTCCTCACACTCCGCGCCCCGCATAATGGACTCGGATGTGATCATCATATCCTCCGACGAGGAGGACTCCGTCGCACCCAAACGTCGAGCCGCCCCCCGCAACAAGAACAAGACACGCGCCGCGAAAGAGATCATCGACATCACCTCGACCCCCTCGGACAAGACTAGCCGCAAGGGCGAGAGCAGCCGCAGCGCCGCCCAGGCGAAGGCGAAGGCCGATGCGAAGGTGCGTCTTGCACCGCGTCCGCGCTCGTCGCTCAATGACCGACGCCTCCTGTCTCGGTGGCTGTTTCGATAGGAGATTGCGCGGCAGAAGGAGGCGCTGGCACTTTATGAGAAGGAGCTCGAGCGCTCGAAGGCTGAGATCACGAAGCTGAAGAACGAGCTTGCGAGTGAGAAGGCGAAGGCAAAGGCGTCGTCGTCCGGTGGTTTGGTGAGTAGGACCCCTGCGCCACATCGAATACCTCCTTATACTCTCGGGGTATCTTCTAGTCCATTCCGGCCGAGAGCCTCGACGATCTCACCACCTGCGAAATCTGCACTTGCACAATGTGGAAACCCGCTACGTCCGTCTATTGTTCTCATCTGCCACTCCCGCTCCTGACATTCTTCCAACCCGTAGGTTGCCCGACTGTGGCCACACCTTCTGCCAGGGCTGCCTCACAGACTGGTTCAGCACCATCCTCGCCCAGCACCTGACATCGAACCCGCATTACAACCCGAACCACCCACCCCCTCACATCGGGCCCGACCTGCTCCGTGCGCTTCCGCAAGCCTTGCACCCGTACATCCTCAACATCATGCAGAACAACTCGCACCCGCCCTACACATGCCCGACATGCCGCGTGGCGGTCCGCAATCGCCCCGTCGAGGCGTTCGCACTGAAGAACTTGGTGCACACCGTTGCAGAGGCGAAGGGCGAGCGGCCGCCCCCGTCTGCCGCTCCGCCTGCCCCTGTGGCGGGGCGCGCAACGAGAGGCCGCGCTGCGCCTCCTCCGGCCCCGCGGAGAGTAGAGAACCCTTGGGATGGTTTTTTCGGGAAGAGCTGAGCGGGCTAGAGATCGAAGACCGGGTGGTGCTGGTCCTACCTATTTCCTCGCGGGTCGGTTTTCTTGGACGCTGTCATGTGGTTCCGAGTCTTCCGGGTGTATGTATCCGCTCGTGCGTCGTGGTCCTCATATCGTTACCCACTATTACCCCTGCATACAATGATGGTACGAGCAGCTAAACTTATTGACTCCCCTTTCCCCCAACCGCACCGTCGTACATATATTTCTTGTAATTGCTGGTCTCGATTCCTTACACCTTGTCTTTGGGGTTATTCAGCTCTCCCTGCACTGTCCTTGTAGCCTTGTGTATTGCTTCGCCGGTATGAGAGACGGCTGATGTAGTCCTGCAGAGCGGTGGCGCAACCTGAGGCTGACGTTATTATATCTTTAATGCAGAAACCTAACAAGCCCGTTTAGCTCAGTGGTAGAGCGCGCCACTCGTATTCTTCTGATATGGTGAGGTCGGTTGTTCAATCCAGCCAATGGGCATCCGCGTTCATTGCGGACCATTTTTGTTCTGGCCAACTTGAAGCCTGACACCTCACGTCGAATTGGAAGACTTGATACACATACATATCGTATTCGGGTTACTTGCACATCTTGTTGAGGCCAATCGATACTACTGGTTACTACTGAAAACATCCGTACGCGGCTGGCCCTCCTACTCATCGCTGTCGCTCGCAAACTCGACCGCCTGGTACTTCCTCGCCTTCTTGTTCGGATTCGCAAGCGATGCCCCGCGTCTGTGCACGGGCGCCGGCACGGCCGAGCCTACGATCTCCCGCATCAGCGCTTCTATCGCAAGAAAAGACGACGAAAACTGAGACATACGACTATACAGCCCGCCCCGCCCGTCGCCGCTGCCGAGATTGCTCATGCTGACCTGCATGGTCTGCGCGCGCGCGAGCTGCGCCTTCAGCGAGCGGATCTCCTCGCGCGCCTGCAGCTCCGCCTGTGTCGGCTCTGCCTGCAGACCCCGGGAGGGCGGCTTGAGCTTGCCTTTGCCCTTGTGTTTGCTTGGGGAAGGCGGCGCTGGTGGTGAGGAGGCGCGATGGTGCGAGTGGGCGGGCGAGGAGAGGGGCTGGGTTGCGGCGCGGCCTTCTGAGCGCCGGGAGGGAGTCAAGTGCGGCCGTTTGAGGGGCGCTGGCTCATCCTCTGCTAAAGACGATGATGGAGAACGCGAGCGGGGGCGTTTGGTCTTGAGTTTGCGTGGAGCTAGAGTGGTTGTACGGTTGTTAGGTACGGATGATCACGATAGGGGAATTTCGTACTTTGCACTGTTATCGCAGACGTGGTGGGTGCATATGGAGAGGGGTTGAGTTGGCACTGGCGGTTTCGGGCTTGAAGGGCGATCTGTGAGAGGCAGTCACAGTGTTAATAACGTCCGGCAGCATCGTTCTTGAGGACTGACGGCAGAGAACTGGTCTGCAGCGAATTTCGCTGCATCCTTAGGTTCCATCTTCTTGAGCAGCATGTGCAGCGGTTTCTTAGCGCTTTGTGCGATGGTGAGCTGATATCGTAGGGGGTGTCAGATGCGACACGGTCCTGTATTCGTTCTCGGGGAGACATACTTTGATGGTCTGGTTCGAAGCCGCATCGTTGGGACGGTAGTCTTCGATCTGCAGGTCACCTTTGATAACTGTCTCCGCAAGGCGCTCTGCGAATGCTTCCAGAACCTCCGGGGTTGCTTTGTTTCCCTGGAGCTGGGTCAACGGGATGCAGATACCCATTTATCGTCCGACGTACAGTCTTCTCCAGTACGTCCGCCTCCGTCCAGCGGCCTTGCCACCACAGGCCTTCCCGTGCTAGGCCCATCCTAACGCGCCAAGCTGGCTCATCTCTCGAGAGGTCGACATGCGAGAGCAGGACGAAACGCGAGCTTCCTTGATATATCAGCTGGATGAGCTCGTCCAGAGGGCTGAAGTGGTCCAGCAAGGACATGGTTGACGATTGACTTCAATTGTCGGTTCCTCGCGACGTTATAGTAGAATTCTCTGAAGAGCAGATGGTCAGAAGACGGTCTGGTCCTTGACAACTGAAATATGAAATATCGGGTTGTGGGCGGAGGTAACTGAGTGTACTACTCGAGTAAGTACACGTGAAGCGCGTCACCAAAACCACTTGCGCGACGCGTTGCGTCACGCGTCACGCGACTCTCCTCCGAGTCTTGCCAGCGGGACGTCTGCCCGTTTCATGGTTCCACAAAGCGATAAACGGTGAGTCACTCTTTTTTACTGTCAATCCTCACAATCATTTTTTCTTACGACGAACTGAAGGTTAAACGTGAAATATCTGCGATTTATGGCCTCGAGGTTTTGCATGAGCTCGCCGGGCATCTCAAGAACCAAGGCCCGTGAGTTTTGTTCGCTGGCGTGTGCGTGCAAGTCCTACTACACGACCACGAACCGGGGCCGGTCTTATTATCTATGGCCACTCAGAAGCTCGACGTGACCGGTCGACCTGTGCTATGTGCGATTCAGCTTCTTCTATCTTGATTCTTCTCACGTGCCGTCGACCTGGGGGTTGCACGAGCGTCTTCGATATCGATCTGTAGCCTCCCACCATCTACTCGTCCGATTGTCACAGACCTCGCATAGAATTTGCAGCGTTCTCCAAATCATGTCTCTCGCCAATTATAACGAGAAGCAGCGGCACTTACTCAACACGATCATCGAGCCAACCGGCAAGACGATCGACGAGCTAGCGGCGCAGGTTGTACACTATTGCTGCCTACACGCAAAATCTGTAGAGATCTTGCAGGCAGAGCCGACAAAGCTTCGAAACATGGAGGCCACTCTACGCGATCCTCGCACCCGTCCTCAGAATCTCATCCCATTCGAAGGTGCCGGGGACTCCCTGTCGCTCAGCAATATCATGTTCAATGGGACAAATAGTGAAGAAGCAGTGGTGACACTGAGCGCTTATGACGAGTATCTCAAACGAGTACCATCCTCATTCGAAGAGTACGTTGCCTTTCCCGTACTTTTTCTGGCTTTCTTTTGATCGTTGCATCTCCAGCCATTTCTGGTTTTCATGTCTCGCTGCGTCGGGCATGATGATACTAGAGCAGCGTGTGATCACGCCGCAAGTGAGCAAAATGCCAGGTGGTTTCGAATTGTTCAACAAACGCAAGAGTGAATTGTAAGGCTGACTAGCACCCTACCGGCTTGTATATTCTTTGGATCTGACCCCTATCCACAGATATGCGGAGATGATGAAGAGGGAATTCCCTCGAGGCTCTGGACGTGGGACGAAAGAAGTACCCCAACCCAGCCCTAACATCGTTGCGAGACCAATGGAGCAGCCAACGGCGCAGGAATCGATGTCAAGCCCTTCTCACTCCACCAGTTGCGACCCGCTCTCATTCACCCGCGAGGAAGCTGAAGTCATAGCCGATGATTTTGCGGCGCTAAGTACCCGACGTTTCAACCTGCCAGAGTCTTATTTTGACGAAGGTGGGTCACAGTCGTGGAAGGTAGTAGGCATCGACTTCCGCACCTTAATGTATGATGTCCTCTTCTCCAATCTCGATACGCAGATCCCCTACACGAGGGACGACCTCGTTGACCTTCTTACCGAGAGTTCGAAATGACCGTGGTTTTGTTTCATAGCCTCGCGCTTGCCTTTGTTTGATCTTAGACACCGTACCCCGAATTTCCACATCCCATCTTGTTCGCTTTCTACTCATGGAAATGACACTATGATTACTTGAAGGCTAACCCTACTTCGCTCTTTTCCATGTGCTACAGTCTGTTTCCCCGGAGGGAATCAAGCCAGTTGTGGAATCCTGTCAAGTAACCTGGGTAATCATCCCAATTCTGAAGCCAGTCCACGAGCTGGCGAGCTCGAGCTCCTTCCTTGACTGCACGCATGTAATTACCATCGATTTTTCCAACTTCCTACACCTTCGGATCAGCACGGCAGCAAATTCCACAATAACACTCCTTACCTGTTCGAAAACGCGCCTGTAGCGTTCGGCGTCGTCCTTGCGTTCCGCCCACACGATAGTGCAGATATCTTCTCCCCGAGGCGCGTAGCGTGGATCCAACCGTCCCTCGTAAAGTAGCCATTTGGGGTAGTCATGAGAAAGGAACGCTGGGAAAACCGCGTGAAACTCCCAGTCGATGATACCGTGCACATGGCCATTCGAAGTCAGGATATTGCGAGTCTCGAAATCTATGTGCGTCAGAGTAGGGAGATGTAAGGAAGGGTCGTCGGGGGAGGGCTTAAGCTTGGTGGCCAGGTCAAGGACCGCATCGAGATCGGCGCAGGATGGCGACACCGCTCGAGCGCGTCCAACGAGGTGCTGGACGTAAGACTCAAAAGACGGAAATGGCCCAGCGGCAGGTTCTTTACTCATCGAGGGTTCGAATAGCAGGCCCACTTGCACAGTTGTGGAGGGAATGTCGTCGTCTCCCAATCGGATACTGCCTATGTGGGCATCGGGGGGAACAGGAACCTGCGATAACGCTACATGTATTGCAGCCAGCTCTTGGAGCATGTGTATCTTTTATTGAAAATGGATAAAGCAATTGCAACCCATCGAATGACCAGCGACTTACTTTCTGCTCGTTCGTCAAATCGTGACATGGCCATTCGTCAGTCACACCCTCGCATTTCTCCAGGATCATGTACGGCCTGCGGCCGAGAGTGGGCCCGCCTAGCTTCTCTCCGTTCGCGAAGTTGATGCGATAACCCAGGCATCTTGGGACTGGCACGGTACGAGATGCCGTCGCATGTAACAGCTCAAGAACAGCGAGCTCGCTTGACATCTTTTGCAAATAATATTCGCGGCGAGAAGATTCGATATGCGCTTTGCGGAGAAGACGTGCAACGACAGAACGCGGAAACGTATCAGAAGTTGCCGATGCCTGCTCACCCTCGGGACAGAAACGGAGCTCGTAGACCTGTACCGAAAGAGATTAGCTGGACAAATCGGCTGAATGCGTGTTCGAACACCAACATCGTTGTAACTGCCTGCCGACAATATCATCGCCTCCTTCACTTTGATCAGGGATTCTCCGCCTAGAATTTTTGAGGCCTCGGAACAGAGGCTCTTCAAGTCCAAGTCCTGCTCGTCGTAGCAGCGACGCACGTCCTCGGCATTTGCGATGATAAAAGTCGTGCCTGCCTGCGGGTCAAATGGAGGCTCCAGCAGCACCTTAGTACCATCAAGTTCATAGAAGCGGCCTCGAGGCATGAGTCTCTTGGAAGAGGAAACGAAGAGCGAGTATGAAGTAAGGGTCGAAGTGGCCCAGAGCAATTCACACCCGCAGACGGTAGCAATTCTGAGAGTCCTATGCCGGCCTTCGGGAATGACCGAGCTCCGCCATAAGAACTCTTTTCTGCAAGGCGTAGTCGGATGTCCCTGTCGGACCTATAATCAGCGAGGCGTCAATCGATGTTAGGATATTTGTCATATCGGTAAATTTCAGGAACAGCCAGAAATCAGAACCATCCGATGTTCCCAGAGAACCGGCCATTGGTAG